TTGCATAATTCTTTTAGTTAAAGGAATAGTTTACCAAAAATTGAAGTGTCCTGATTATTTTCACCCCCAGGCCATCCAAGATGTATATGACTTTCTTCAGCCCAAGAGAAATTTAGATTTTGGAGGGTAACATTTCAGGATTTTTCTCCATCTAATGCAAGTAAATGGGGCTCTTTTTTTCCACACAACCCCAGCCAACAAATTAGAATCTTCTTTAACATTTGTAAGTAAAAAATAAATAATTTTCTTATTTTGTTCTGAAAATGACTCATCGTTTCACTAGATAAGGCCCTTATTTGTTGGCTGGGGTCGTTTAGAATACTTTGAAGCTGCCTAAATATGGATTTTGGGCCATCAAAAATGGTCCACGCTGAGCCTCATTCATTTGCACTCTAGAAAAATATTGGAATGTTTTGCTCCAAAACCTTAAATTCTCTTCAGCCAAAGAATGAACAACATATACATCTTAAATGACCTGGTGGTGAGTATATAATAAGGACATTTTCATTTTTGGGTGAACTATCCCTAAGTAAAGTCCCTTTTAAAGTGTAATTTTCACACCTGATATCTTCTGTAGTTTTTTTTATTTATTGGAAAGCCTGATTTTCAGTGTTTTGTTGGCTTCAATCTTTCACCAAGGTGCTTAACAGTACAACCTAATGAACTAATCAGTCAAATTAGCCCTGATGAAAGTCCATGGTGTGATTAATATAGCGTTTGTGGGTGGTATTAAGTACTTGGCATGTGCTCATATTTTGACACCATTGAAATTGCAGGAAATTAACAGCATGGCGTATTTATTTGCATGTTCCTCTGTCTAAACAACTCCCCCTCTCTGCAGCAGTCTGGTCTGAAACATGTCATGAATCAGAGGGGACGGAGATGTTGTCCAACCTATAGAAGGAAAACAGAGAGGGAGAAAATGAAAGAGAAAGAGAGGGCATCGTGCAAACTGACAATTCCAGCGACTCTGTCAGACAGCAGTTGACTGCTATTCTGCTATTCCTGTTAGAGGGCTGAACCCACTCTGCCTTGTTGGC